CTTTTTCTCCCAGTTCTTCACAAGTCTGTTTTCTTTTTATCCTACAAGTCTTTCTTGAATATCACTTCTCAGAGAGAATATTCCTGAACCTCTGTTTAGAAAAAGCATCCCCTTTTCATTCACAATCAAACCTCCCTCCTGTTTATTTTCTCCATGATGCAAAAGACAATCGTAATTATTTGATTTATTTGTTTTTTTCTTCTCTCTCTTACTAGAACAAGAACTCAATCAAGAGTAGGATTTTTCTATATTGTGTCACTGCTCATTGATGACTTGCCTAATCCAGTATTTGGTATACATTGGCACTTAACGAATATCTGTTGACTAAATTAATAAAGAGCGTAATATCTTTATATGCAATTCGTGTTTGGTGCCTTATCTGCACAAAGATCCAATAACTTGGCCCTGAATTCATAAAATAAGAGATTTGGACATTTCTGCTTAACTGTGGGAGCCTCTTGGCTTGCAGGGAGCTCAGGAACCGGAAGGAAAGGGACGGTGGGACCTGAGAGGATGGACAGGGAGGCCCCCGTGGTGAGAGTGGTTGTACAAACACACAGGGAAATTCAAACGAAAGTCCACAGGCATTGGGATAATTAGAGGCGCTATTAGCTCCTGCCTCATCCTGAAATAGATTCTTAAGTGGTCTCTGTCTCTGCTTCCTCCCCATGCCTGCTGGAGAGGTCTTTCTGAAATAGAAATCTCACCAAGTTTGCCTGCTTAGGGCTCTGCACTGGCTCCACAAGGCCTTCTGAATAAAGAACAGGCCGTGTCGCGGGAACGTCAGGATAGGCTTTCTTTGTCAGGCTGCACAAGTCGCTAGTCTTTTGTTTTCACAGATTCTCCACGGACTCAGAATCATTATGATAGATTCACTGAGTAGAAGATTTGCAATTCCAAGGACTTCCCACTCTCTCCCATTAATCCATCGTTTTGCACACAGCATTCTTCTGCCTGGAAAACTCATCCTTATCTTTCAAAATTTGTTTAAGTTCTTCCGGTTCAGAATGGAATACTGCACACTGACATTTGTCCTTAGGTGTGGCTTACAGATATATTCCCTCTTTTTTCATAGCCATCATTTGGACATACATCATTTAGATGAAACACACACATACACAAAGACCCAGACGTCCTTACTAAGAATAAGCATTAGGACTCTGAGAAAGAGGAGTCAAAAAATTCACATTCAAGGGGCTGACCCAGGGGCATAGTGGTTAAGTTCACGTGATCCACTTCAGTGGCCCAGAGTTCACAAGCTTGGATCCCAGGTGCCGACCTACACACCTTTCATCAAGCCATGCCATAGTGGCATGCCACATACAAAATAGAGGAAGATTGGCATAGATTTTAGCTCAGCCACAATCTTCCTCAAACAAAAAGAGGAAGATTGGCAACAGATATTAGCTCAGGGCCAATCTTCCTCACCAAATTAAATAAATAAATAAAAATAATTCGCTTTCCGGGCCAGGCCCATGGCCAAGTGTTTAACTTCCTGTGCTCTGCTTTGGTGGCCCAGGATTTTGCCAGTTTGGATCCTGGGTGTGGACCTAGCATGACTCTTCAGGTCATGCTTAGGCAGCATCCCACACAGCAGAGCCAGAGGGACCTACAACTAAAATACAAAACTAGGTACTGGGGGGCTTCAGGGAGAAGAAGAAGAAAAAAAGACTGGCAACAGATGTTAGCTCAGGTGCCAGTCTTTAAAAAATAATAATAATTCACATTCAAGAATAGAAATATTGTCCTAGCTATGACATAATCTATACCACTCTCCTGGTTATCAGTTGATATAGTATTTTATATTATTATGTAGAGTGTTATCAATTTTCTTTTTCTCAATATTACGCTTTCCAATTAAACTCTGAAGGCTCTCGTTGGAATTTCCACCACAGAGTCATCTATCCCTTGATGGCCATTCCCTAGTTAAAACACAAAAAAAAGTCAGAAACTTTGAAATTAGTGCTGCTATTATTGTCATCATTATTTTTGTTGTTTCTAAAGCTAGTTCAGATTTTCAGATAGGACATTCTTCCGTAGTTTCTGCAGATGAAAAAAAGCCAGGGTAAAAACTCTCATATGTATTCACATTTCAGTATTCAGTTATTGAAGAACCAAATATAAGTCATTGTATTATATAGGAAAGAGGAAAACTGGAGAGAGAGAAGGCATAAGGGAGAAAAAACAAATGCATGGAAATACACATCATCGTGTATGTGTACTTGAGTGTGTGTATGTATTTCTAAATTGTATATGTGAATTGTATTAATATAAAAACTGGATAAAAATTGCATATACAGACATATATGTATATACATATAGAGAGAGTTATATACATATATATACAGATGGTTCTTGTTATTTGCAGTAGTTATGTTTTATAAAGTTTCCATAAACACTAAATTAGCAAATACTGCACGAGTGCTCCTAGGGTAAATACAAAGTTAGGTTCCTGTGAGCCTCTTGTCACAACATTTTCGTCAACTGATTAATACGTAACCTTATTTAATGTGTGGTTCTGTTTAAAGACACCTTATTTAATATATATTGTTGATTTATTAACACTAAATGCACAACCAACAGCATGAAGCTTATCTAACACACATATTTTCCTTGTAAGGCACATCCCAGCCTTCTTACTCTTAGGAACACTGGACAGCACTTCAGCACTATGCTTGGGCCCATCTTAAACAGTGAAATCACCAAGAAAAGGCACGAAAATGTGAAAAATATGGCACTAAATAGACCATGGAAAGGACTTGTTTACAGTATGAGAGCTGAAACGAGAAGGCATTGGGTTGCTCTGTTCTGCCTCAGCTGGGAATGTGCACGCTGGGTCACTCAAGTTCTTTTGCATGTCCACAAATGACCATGAAAGCACTTCAAGTATTGCTTTTGGGGTTACAAATACATTTTCAGGAGTAGGTGAATTTGCTAATACAAAAATCCATGAATAATGAGAATTGATTGTATGTAGTAGTTCCCCCTTAGCTATGGTTTTGCATTACATGGTTTCAGTTACCCAGAGTCAACCACGGTCCAAAAACATTAAACAGAAAATTCTAGAAATAAACAAATCATACGTTTTAAATTGTGCACCATTCTGTGTAGCTTGATGAACCTCCTGCTGTCTCACTCAGTCCTGCCCAGGACATGAATCACTGTGCATACTACCTGTCCATTAGTCACTTAGTAGCCATCTTGCTTATCAGATTAGCTGTTGCAGAATCACAGTGCTCCTGTTCACGTACCTCTTATTTTACTTAATAACAGCCCCAAAGCACAAGAGTAGTGATGCTGGCAATTTGGGATATGCCAAAGTGAAATTATTTTTTGTTAATCTCTTACTGTGCCTAATTTATAAATTAAACTTTATCATAGGTATATATATACAGGAAAAAACAAGTACAATTATGTGCTGCATAATGACGTTTTGGTCAACAGTGGACCACATATACTACGGTGGTCCCATAAGATTAATAATGTATAGCCTAAGTGTGTGGTAGGCTACACCGTCTAGGTTTGTGTAAGTACTGTAGAGGAGGAAGAAATTTTCCTCTACCCTTCTAGGTTCTTCTGGTGGTAAGAATTAAATTGAATTGACATAAGACAGATTAACAGGAGAAAAACAAACAAAAGTTTAAAAACATGTATGCATAGGAGAAACCAAGGAAAACTGAGTAACTCGCCAAAATAGCTGAAGCCCTCACCTTAAATACCATCCTCAACTAAAGATGAAAGAAGATGTTGGAGGTGGAAGATTCAGGGATTTCAAAGGGAAGGAAGGCAATACCCAGGTAGGTGAATAGGAGCAAATGTTTGGAAAACAAGAGTGTGTCCACAGCGGGGAGCCCCACACACAGATTTTCCCAGGTTGCTGCCCGTCTGCCTCTTAGTTTATGTTATGCTAAGGTAACAGCTCATTTCCTGAGATAGATTTTTTTTACCTAAATTCATTTAGATCATTAAGGGGAAGGTGAAAATAAAAACTTTCAGAGTCTTTGTTTGTTAAAAGTAATCAGACTAAAACAATCCTCAGGTTAAAGAGACACATTTTGGGGTGGCAAATTTTGTTCCCTTTCAGTACCCACTTTGACGTTTGCACAATGATGAAATCACCAAAGGATGCATTTCTCAGAACGCAACCCTGTCATTAAGGGACACATTACTATATATATAAGGTTCAATACTATCTGTGATTTCAGGCATCCACTGGGGATCTTGGGACATCTCCCCTTTGGACAAGGGGGATTACTATGTATATATATATAGATACATACACACACACACATTATTATATACAACATACTACATGCAATATATATTCCATATAATACATATAACTTCTGCATGAATGAAATCAACAGGGTCAATGTTCATCTTGTATCCTATTTGTTTGATGTATAAGATGAGCTAAAAAGTGATGCAGGCTCCATGAGCCAAGGAGTCAAAAGAAAAATTGCTTGGATTCTCAAGGTCTGACAGTAGTGTTCTTTTATTCAGAGGACAGTATGGAGACAGGACCCATGGGCAGTGAAGAGCTGTAATGTGTTGAGGGTTAGGGCTAAATTTATAAGGCATAGGTACGTGACTCATTTTTACCAGACAAAGGGAAGATGATGTAAAAAGTCATTAAATGGTATCAGCGCAGGTGGGGTCTGGTTATTGTGTGGTCGTATGACTTCAGATATGAATCGGGTCATATAGATCAGCACATAGGCCAGGACACCTTGGGCTTCTCTCCCTGGGGCAGCCTTGATCTACATCAAGAAGTATCATTAAAATAAAGCTTAGAATAGAAACCTACATGTATTTCCAGGTAATCTATTTAATCATGGTCCTTGAAATGGTGGTTAGAGGCTTTTTTTCAGAGAGATTAGGTTTCTATTACTTCTTCTTCTTTTAAAATGTATAACACCGCTGCTTCTTTTAAATAATAAAGATACCTATTATCATTGGCAAAATATGGAAAAATTTAAGAAACATAAAGTACAACTCACCAGTCTTCCTACGATGAGATAAAGATCTTTAAAAACTTGATGCATTTCTTCTCAGTGTCTTTTTTATGCAAGGTGTGTAAACATCTTTAAAAATAAAATTGGAATTATACTGTTTTCTATCCCGCTTTTATTGTTGTTTATTAATGCTATATCAGCATCCCCTCTTCATTCTATTTCAGCTTTCCTTTCCTCCCAATCTCTCTTCTCGGAAGGACACAGCCCTCTGAGATTGCTAGATGCAGTCCAGGCTCAGCAATCTGCTGCCTTTGCTGAATCAATGCGTGCGAGGGCCTCTGCTGGGGAGACAGAAGAAAAGTAAAAAGACTGTATTGCATGACTTTTTTCTTTAATTTTGGTATTCCTTGAGAGATTCTCACTTAGCTAGAAAGAGAATCATTTGCAGAGGTGCAAGGAAGCTTACCCTAAAATAGATTGCCTATATCATAATTGACCTTTGCATAAATGCATGCATTTCATAGCAATTCGGCTCAATCAAATTTCCTGGGCAGACATATTCACACAATTTAAACACCAGAATTAAAGTTTTACAATGTACATTTCAGTAACTCTCCAAAAGCCAAAAAGTTCAATCTCCATGTTCACTCTCTCATGACATTATTGTTTTCCAATACAATGAGAGTTAATGGTGGACTTTTCTGTCTTTGTGCGCTACAAGAGGTATTCTGGGCTGGAAGAAAGGAGCAATTCCCACTCTTTTGTTCTCGTACATGTTGCATGATTATCTTACAACAGACGATTACTAAGCAAATTTAATCAACTGCAAAAATATATAACACTATCACAGCAAAATTCTCAGATAATTGATATTTTCCTTTTCTAACACTTTATTCTTTACCCTAACAAAAAGAAACTACATAGTTCCAAAACCGAAGAAAACCAAGGTATTTATGAACAATTAAGTGAATTGAGTCAATTTTTAAAATGCTATAACATATACATAGTTTGTTTATTATGCGAGAAGAATTCATTAACTACCCCATGAGGAAGTGCTATAGACGGAAAAATTAATATATCATACGCTGGCATATTCTGGATTCTTTGAATGCCTTTTAAATTGCCGTGTGGTCATTCGGTAAATGTTGAAATTAAGCTAAGCTAATTTTAGGCTGTTAATCTTAAACTATATCCAAAAAGGTAATCATTAAAAGTTATTTACATATGGAAGTGAATTAAATTGACATGGAAATCATTTTTATTAACTATAAATTAAAACAAATGTTCTTCCTGGTCCCCCCAAAAGTGACAAATAATGCTGTTATGGTATTTAAAAGTGTTTAAAATCTTGTTGTAAATGGCATAGCTCTAGGCTTTAGCTCAATAGAACGGGGTTCAAAACCAGACTGGAAAATCCCAATTCAACAAGCCGGGAAGGTCACTGATTTCCTTTGCTTTTAGAAGCCGTCTTGCTTCCTTCAAAACACTATTTAGCCATGAATGGCTTCTTCTACCCATTCAGTGAAGTATTTGCTCCTTGTCATGGGACATGCCCATATAAGGGATGCTTTTGATCCACCATCTTTGAAACGATCAACAAATCATACTGACACTCCCGTGGATTCTAAGTCCTTGACAGTTGTGCAATGTGTGGTCCTCACTCCCAGAGGAAGAGGCAGTGAAGTATATACTTTTACTAACTCTAAACGTATTTAACATTTATTGGGTTCTTATCAACTTTGGAAACTCTGTTAAGCAGTTTACACATATCTCATTCCACGCTCACAAAATCCATACAAGATAATTATTAGTAGTGTGCCTCTTCAGGAAAGTTAATTAAAATTTGTAAACTTTCATTTTCTCATATTTAAAATGGGAGCTAATTAGCAAGAAAGCTGATTAGGTAGTACTAAGTGAGAGAGACAGGATTCCCATGCAGGCCTGTAGGTCCTGTGAACAAGCTTGACGTCAACCTATCTCGGTCATTAACACTTTCAACTCATTCACTCTGGGTAAGTAATCTGCCGGTTATCACGACTGCACGATAGAGATAATGTTACTCACTTTACAGGAGTATTGACAGGATTAGATGCCATACAATGCGTGGATCACAAATCAGTTCATGTGGTGCATCCTTGGAGCTTCGCATGTGTTAATTCCCTTACACAAAGAATTGGGCTATTAGTACCATGACTATAGTCAGCAAAATAACTGGGACACATGGCATAACAAGTATGTATGCTACATGTGGTGAAAACACAACCAAATATTTGCAACCAACACCGCCTTCGGCACACTAGTTTACATGTTCAACATGGCTACTGGGCGCCTATGAGAGGGCTGAAGTGGCTGGAAACGGTTGTATGTTGCAGAACATCATGTTGACAGTAGGGACTGTCAAAGCAAACACTGCACCAAAGTCAAACAGACGGAAGGCTTTCAGCTATTGCAGTAAGTGCAGTTCTCAGTGGGAGCTCACCTCCACTGAAACAAAGAGGGGAACTTTCAGACCATCTTGGTGAGGGTAACACCAATGAAGGTGGGACAGCTGATGGGCGGCAGCTCCACCTTCTCCCCATATCCTATACCTGGCACCACAAGCTATTGCCATCTTTTCAACTCTTGTTTCCATAACAGAAAATAAATAGAGAATCTAACAAGTCATTTCAAATAAAGAGAAAAATAATCCAAAGAGCTTGATTTAGTTACAGTTACTGAGGTCCTTAAATCACTTAATTACACAACAAATTTAGGTTTAAAACATGCGCATTGATATTTGTTATACAATAGCACAATGACATCCATAAAAATATTCCAAAGAGCCATCAACAGAGTTAGACATAAACAGAATATATATTAAATAAATAATGGAAATAGCCAAATCTTTTTAATATTTTTCTAAACAAATCCATATTAAATGCCTCTGTCACCAGCATGTTGATTTATGGCGATATTTAGTTGGGTGCATAAGCTTCATTTTATGACAGTTCAGTTAAGGAGACATCTCCCCATTTCTGAACTGTGTTGACTAGAAGTCTCCTGTGGAGTCAGGTTTGTCAGTTGGTTTATTAACCAAGTGTCATTTTATACCCTATTTTCTAAATTTTGGGCACCCAAAAGAGCTCAGTCTAAGATTCTCCTCTCTATCAGGTATCTGCCTAATTAGTCTCATTTTAGAATACCTATTATTCAGTGCACAATAGAACAGAACAATTAATTTGGACCACATGCAATTATGCTGAAAGGTCAGGTGCTACCCATAATAAAACTCTGTTCAAAAGTGTGTTTGGGGAGAGCATTAATATGGTTATCCAGGAGACTTGAAGGGGCAGAAAATCTCCAAATGCAATTAAATGGGCTGTAAAGTAATCACTTGCAATTTTTCATTTCTAAAGCAGAAGACTTTTTGAATGTTGGGCAAAATGAATACTTCCAAGACCAATCAAATTTGGGAGATTTACATCAAGAGGTGACAAATTCACACTCTAAAGAGGAAAGCACATTATCTGGCCAGCAACTTCCTGCGTGAATTTCAAGTTGTAAAGAGCCTTCATCCAGCAGTTGTTACAAACCCCTCAAATACAGTTAATAATGAAAATGCTGGCTTTATCCACCTTGGGTAATTTGAACTGTATAGCCATAAAAATTACAGTTAGAAGTATGGATGTGTGGATTATAAAGTATCCCCAGTACCCAAAAGTCCATGAATTTATAATTCCGGGTTCTTCAACAATATTATGTTTGCCTGTTAAATGCGAATTTCTGAAGTAAATTTTACTCTGGAGGCAGTTCCAAAGATACCTCTGTCACTATTAAAGGTATATGTATACTTTATAGCCCTAGGCAGGTTTATAAAATGCTCATTGTTTGCTCCATGTGGAGAAGCTTTTGCTGATAAAAGAAAAAATGGTAGAGGGACAGAAAGGCAGACAAGTACACTAAGAATTGACAACAAAATGCTTTTTTCTGCACCAATCTATTATAGCATACATCTAGAAACAAACAACATTTTGGTTTCAGAATAAATAGAAAAAAAATATTTACAACATGAGTGATGGAGGTATTTTTGCTTATTTTTTTCATAGCAACAGAAAGACAGTACATCTGGAATTTTTATACATTTAGATTTCATTCAAGAATTGCCCATGCATTAAACCAGTACCTATTATGCAATGCAGTAGACTGTGTGAGATAAAAGCACGATTAAGGCATAGTCTTACGTCAACGATTTTCCTTTAGAATGGAAATACTGAGAGTGCATTTGCACACCAGAAAAAGGCTTGCACTCTGAAATTAACAGATCTCAGTTTCAATCTTGATCCAATTGTTTGACTAGTTGTATGACTCTGGGAGAGTTCCTTAAGCTCTGTGTGCCTCGATTTTCACATCCGTAAAATGATAATTTAAATAATAGCAACTACCCGGTACTCTCAACTTGTAGTGACAGGATAATTAGCTCAAACTAGCTTAAGCAAAAGGAACATTCATTTATTCATACAACCAAAGTGCAGAACGGTAAGAGTAGAATCATCCCGAGAAGGACTAGAATCTCGGACTCAAATTCCCATGAATTTTGGAATTCAGCAGCCCATCTCTTTACTCGTAATTAGTACATTTTCATTGGGACAATTTGCCTCTTTCTGTTTCTCAACTCTAGCGGTGTTTTGAAAGCTCTTGTTCCACCAAATCAAAGGAAAGATCCTGTTTTTAAAATACGAAATTAGATACCAATGTGAATATTTATTTAGGAGGGGTCCATGCAAATAACCTGAAAGTTACCCTTCGTTAGGTTCTTGTAAATCCACCTAAACTGTAAACTCCTTAAGATCAGAGAATTTTGCTTCTTTAAACTATGTACCCATCTTTTGTTTACTGAGTAGGGCCCAAATAAATGCCCCGTATTGTGTGTGTGACTGTGAGTATGTGTGTGAGTGTGTGAAGAACCCCAGATTAAAACCTCTCAGTCTCTATATTTCATAGATTACAACATCTAATCTCCTCAGAACAGCATTCAAGATCCTTAGCGATCTGTCCCAAAGTTTACCCTCTGATGCCCACACCCTCTTCACTCACTGTGTACTTCAGTTGCATCTAATTAACTGACATTTTCGAGTATGCTGGATACTTCTCCATCTCCAAGCTTATTCTGAGCATTTCCTTCTCCTTGATGTGACTTTTCCCATTTCTGCCTTTCAAAAGCCCCCTCTATCCTTCAGGGCCCGGCTCCGCTATGATCTCCACCATGAATGTGCTCTGATCTACCTATTCATAAGCTGTTTGAACAGGCATATTTAGTACTTCCAATATCCCCAGTGTTTGAGGTAAAGGGATGAATAGGTACGCTTCTTCCTTTGA